TTTATCCATTTTTAGCTTATAAGATGTTCTACTAGTTTAAATTAGTAAGCAAAGTTTTGAGGGTCGCGGGATTTCCCGGTAAAATTTACCTTATTAACTTGCGGCATTTTGCAATAGTGTTTCGGAAATTAAGTGAAAGCTCTTAAAGTGAATGGCAATAAGTGGTTGAGTAGGGTTTGAAACAAGGGGAGATGGTCGAGTGACCGGTTCCAGCTGTAACTAATCTGGCATAACTTGTTTTGGTTGCTAATCCCTGGGGTTGGCTGACTGCAGGTCTGGTCAGTACCCGTTCGCCAAAACAAAAGATCGTCGTTTCGGCCCCTTTCACCTTAAGTTTTGTCATTTGTTTACATTAAGGTGAAATATTACGGCCAATAGGACATCAATGATTCGCTAGGATCGCCATTCCTTGCATTTATATTGTCTCTCGACTGTCGTACTTACTGTTTTTTCAAACGTACCGTAGACTCACCTTAGCTTCGACTAAAAAATCGTTGTAGAACCAATAGATTTTTGAGATTATTGTGATGCTTTTTCTTATCAAACTTATAAATCAACTCTACAAAGGGCTCATACGTTTTTGCATTATCTGGTAGACGTTTTCAATGCTAAATGCAATTCGCACTACTGCTGGAAAAGAGGAGTTGCTAAAGCTTAAGAAGGCTCCCTTGTTCGTTATTCGCATAAGGCAAACATAAGTGGAGAGTTCTACCTATCTATCGCAAATTTTTGTGCGCGATTGGAGGAAGTTAGCAGTCGAACCATCCACTCCTGCCTCCTACGAAAACCAATCCTTGCGAGATGGCAGCATCCAATCAGCAGCTCATTGGCGAAGTGGTTTCGCGCGTATTCAGCCCACCATAACATGGGAACACACTTTTAAAAATATTGTAATGCTGGCGTTTCACGACGCACTGGTGGGCATGGGTATTTAACGTCCCTTGACCTGGATTATAAGTCTTCATCAGGATGAAATCGCGTTGGAAATACATCCTATTACATATCTTTCTTTTTGTACATGTAAACAGAAGTCCATGCAAGGATGTAGCCAAGGCACTCTTCGGTAGAACCATTTATAAGCTCATTTGGTTGTTTTGACTGCTTTTAGAACCAGAACGATCAAACCTTGTTTTTGGTGAAGAGGCATGGCTAAATTTCTTTCCGGTGATAGATGATCCCGACCATGGCTCGCGTGTTTCCATTCATTTCAAAACTAGGGAACAAAACGCCATAATAGTTCTTGCAGGTGAGTTGAACCTGACGCTCTCCTTTATTTACGTTCGCAGTTCCTAATTCTAGTTAAGCAGCTACACTGTACATTTTTTTCCATCTTATCAAAAGCAGAACCGTAAGATACAAATCCGAAAGCAACGTTTTAAACCAAAAAGAATATAACTAGGCTCATTTTGTATCCCTCTAAACCAAAAGCATAGATAATTGGCGGTAAGTAAAAACTTAAAGTCCTCAAATACCCTATTTTGAACCTGTTTTTGCGCTATCAGAGATTTTACGTGAATTTTAGATCTTTTTTTTACTACTCCAGAGACTTCAGAGGCCGGAGAAGAGATTTTAACTGTTTGCTTACTTAACGGGTCTATTCGATTTCTTCTACGGTCTCCAGGACTGCAAAAAAATGCCATTGTCCAAAAGTCCCAAGCTTGCAAATCTCCTTACAGCACATGTTCTGACGGCGCCTGGCACCACTTATCATTTTTATACAATCCTCTTCGGGTATGCTAGCTTTAACAGTTAAAAAAACATTTTGACTGAATTAGTTACTGAGCCGGTGATAAGTCCGATTCAAGAACTTTACTGACTTTTTATTTGCATAGTAATATAGATAAGATAATCAAATCTGGAGTGGGTGGACAAATTCATCTCTATATGCAATTATAAATTTCGGAAGGAGCACGGATTTGTTTATTTCAGCCATAGGGCAAAAAATCATTTTCAAACCCCACAATTTTAAATGCAGATACTAACAGAAGTTGATGGAGATCGGCAAACCTTAGAAATGCCAAAAAGCCAACTGCGGTCTCAATTCAAAGCGTTCTATTTTGGCAGCTTAGCTCTCAAGGCACAGAAGCGTCTGCAATTACAAAATATCCGGAACTTTACAGGATGCTTCAAACATGTGAGTTTAGCCAAATCAGGCTGGTGATATTGAAAGCATTTACGAATGATAACGTTAAATGTTTTAGAGGAGGGAGCGGGGAGGGGAAGGCGAAAACGGGTATTAAAACGTTTAGCAAGTTTAAACACATAAAGCATGCCCAATTGGTTGAACAGCTATTCAGGACAAGTCAAGTATCCAGTTATCCATGCTGGTCATCCGACAAACAAAGACTATTATTTGTTAAATTAGCCAACCGAAAACCCCTCGTTTAATCTGCTTATCATAAAACAACTAAGCTTGAGGTCAAATTTTTAATATTTACATTGGCACGCCCACTACCCTTTAGATTTTCTACCAGAGTCGAGAGGGTCTCATTGACCTCATCGATCTGATCAAGGAGAACTCCACTGAGCAAAAAGAGGCGATTGGAGTTGGTGAAATAAGTTACAGGGCTGTGGCATTTCAGGCTTGCGCAGTGGCACGCAAAGCCAAACGCGACGCCAGATCTGATGATTCGGAGATTACCTTTATGCGCCCTGGTGGTTACCTGCGCTCCCAACAGGGATGGCGGACAGTGTCTGCTGGAATTGTCACCTTTAAAATCCGTACACTGAAAATGAATTGTCTTCTTTTATTCTCATCTTCCGGGTGGCCTAAGTCTGAAAAGAAAGATATATTTCCGAGAACCGGACCAATTAATCCTGTCAACCCTGTTGACAGACTTACTGGAACAGATATTTTTTCTGCTGAATTGCGGGAGGGGTACTTAGTATTTCTACTCAACACAGGGTCTGGAATAAACGAATTCGCAACGGAACGTATTTGGCGAGGACATCAAGACAGAAGCGAATGGTTTGTCGCGGATGGCGCTTCTCACCATGTAGAAATTCAACTAATCAACGGTTCGCTTTCCGTGACCATGGATGGTCGCACTCACAATATGCGTCCAAAAACAAAGCCAAAGTACGGTAATTCTCAAAGTATCAAGCAAGCTGCATATTTTTAAAGTCCTTTTATTTTGTATCTAGCTTTATGTACTCCCATCATTTGTTGTACTCGATGTTGCGATGGCAGCAAATCAAGTTTAAAATCAGTAAAACTGGAACTTGTGGCCTCAATGAAAATGAAAATTGATGAATGGTAAAAAATGATGTTCATTAAGGCGTATTTATATCGAAGAAAACGCTAGATTATTATAA